CCAAAGAAGGCTGCCAACCAGAGATGGAGCAGTCTTGCCGGAGGGCTGTCAGCGCAGATCTGAAGTTGTCTCGCTGGATCGGAGGCAGCGCCAGAGAAAGATTCACTAGAGGGCATGCTGTTAGTGGTGGTCACGGCGGTGGTGGGCGTCATCGGAGAAAACGGCGGTGGTGGGCGACGTCATTGTACACGGTGGTGCTCTGTGGTGTGGCCGAGAGACATAGCAGCGGTTGTGTACTATCATATTTTTATTTTGAATATACTAATGTAAAGGGAAGGGTAAAAATGGAAGACAAGAATATAGTTTTCTAAAACGGTGCTAAATAGATCCTACGCAAGAAAAAAATTGTGCCGAATCCTGTTTTTCTAAAAATCCTTTGATTTGCTCCTACGGAGGGCAATTTTCCCTGCCCAAAACGGGAGCATTTGGAACAAAAAAAATGGGGGTTTTCATATTGAGACTGATTGAAAAAAGCTAGATTTATCATTATCAATCCAGATTTTTGTGGCAACTCTTTAGAGATATCAATCTTAATACAAACCCGGGCCAAAGATGGCCTATAGATCGATAGTTTTTTTTAGGGAAAATTAAAAACAATAATCCCAACTATTGCCAGTCTGCTAATAATAATCACAATTATTCACTATTTTTGTATAATCCCAACTATATGGACCGTCCGCCAATAGTGGTCCATGACCAGATATAACATGCTTTAACAAGTGAAGTTTAAGAGTAAAAGTTAAAAGTTGAGAATATACATAGAGATTATTTGCTATATCTCTTCTCTTCAACATTAGAAACTATAAATATTTATTTATAGTCGTTCACTTCGGACCATTATTGGCGGAAGGTCTCTAATGTTGGGATTACTCTGATATAATCGATAGTTGGGATTATTATGAGCGGATCGCCAATAGTTGAGATTATTACTATTAATTTTTTTTTTATCATTGAGGCCTTATACAAAAATATTTTATCTTCCAAGTCTCAGATTGATAGCTCATTATTTTTCAGGTCCTAAATCGATAAAATTCCTTTTTGTTTCCGTGTAATCACAACTAACTTGTTACTTTAAAAATAGGAAATTTATCAATTCAGGACCCGAAAGATAGACGAATTATCAATCCGGGACCTGAATGATCAAATGCATCGATATAGGACCCGAATGATGAAAAACTATCAATTTAGGACCTGAATGATTGAATACTATCAATCTAGGACCTAAGTTGTCATACATTTTGTTATTTTTTTATTTTAAAATTTTAAAATATTATTTAGTTTTATTAAACTAATAAACTTTTGTGAAGAACAATTTATAAAAAATTTAGTAATGGAATTAATAAAAAATAAAACAAATCAAAACCTGTGAAATGGTAGGTCCTAAATTGATAGTTTTCCATCATTCGGGTCCTATACTGATACGTTTCATCTTTCAGGTCTTGAATTGATAATTAATCTATCTTTCGGGTCTTGAATTGATATAATTCCTTAAAAATACTACGAATTACATCGGGAATATATATTTCATTGGTTTTTTTGTTAAACTTAATTATTTTGTTCTGTAGTTTTTTAACCCTTTCCGATTTACTTTTTTTGAATTTTCAGGCAACTTTTGGTCAGGTAGACTTCGTATACTACGGTATTCTAGACTATCATTAAATTTAATATGTTTGATAATATTGAAATACGAAGTATTAAATTAAATTTAGTAATTCTTTTTAATACTCCCTCCATTCTCTATTAGTTGGCCCTATAGGGTTTGGCACAAGTTTTAAGAGAAAAATAATAGGGATAGTGTAAAAGGTGTAGTGAGTTGTGTTTAAATGAAAAAATAGGAAAGAGAATGAAAAAGTAGGAAATAGAATGAGGTAGATGTGTATATTATTGAAAAAACTTTCCAAAAACGGAAAGAGCGACAAATATTAGAAAAGAACCCAAAATGGAAAGAGAGACAAGTATTAGAGAACGGATGGAGTATATTTATCTCCCTCATACCATGTGTTCATTTTATTTGAGTAGGAAATGATCTAATCATGTTCAAATTCCACATCGCAATGCTTTTTTTTCAATAAGCAGAATTTTATTAAATAAGAAGAGTACAAAAAGATGAAGAAAGAAACAAAAGTGCAAAGAGTGAATAACCCAGCAAATCCCTATGGTAAATCGCTAAGCTCCCCGTGGAAATGGACTGACTTGCCCAAAGAAGAGATGAAGCCCCCAAATTATCCAAAAGCTAATTGTGTAAGGAGAATGACCCTATTTGTCAGCCAATTTTTTAGTCTTGAGACGTGGCTGAGTCCCATTCAGTGGCGGCAACACGGCCAAGTAGCTTACGATCATAAAGTGTCAATTGAACAGGCGTAACTTCAAGATTGTTACCACCCAAAGCATCAGGTTCCAAACTGCAGGCGTAGGAGAAACTAATCCATCCGCTAATAGTTCAGAATGAGGCGAATAAGAATCTTGAAGAGGAGTAGTTTCAAGCACTTCCATCTCCTCCTTGGTTTCAAATGTTAAAGTCCCTTGTGAAAATTCCCGAATCATTGCAGCCCCCCCCCCCCAAAGTATTATCCGATTCAAATTTGAGATCAGATTCATGATTTTGCACAGAGCACTGAACATCCTCAATAGGAACCAAATCAATTGCATGATCTAAAGAATCTAATTGCTCAATATCAGCTTGAATTAAAACACTTGAAATGGAAAATGTAGTCTCACCAGAATGAGGAAAAGCCCAATCCAAGGTCAAAATCTCCAACTCTAAGTTATTTCTCGCTTTAGCTGAAAAGTCATCCCTAGTAGCACGTTCAGTTTCCATTATTCATTTAACAACGATTTCTTCCACCAAAACAATTGATTTTGTCAATCTTGTTAGAAAACTATTGAACCATACTCCTTTATGCCCTTCAGGTATAAACAAATTACCATGTCCATACTCAAATATGTGAATAAAGCCTCCAAAATAGTTTGCATCGTAGAGCATGCTAATACATTTATTAAATTCCCACCTAATACCGAAATTCCCTGGTAAAACTTTTAGCAAAGAATTCTTCAACCAAAGAGCTTTAGCCTGTGCACCAAAGAGCTATAGCAGATGTGATACCGTTCATTTCATAAATTCGCAAAAGATTGCAATTAATAATAGTAAATTGAAAAGATTTGCTTTCAATTGTAACCTCAAACCCATTTTGATTGCATCTACAGAAAGGTTGTGTCCTAGTTTGTGGAATCCAAATATGATGAGAAGCATTAGCTTGTGCACTGAAAGTTGTATGGAGGCCCTTCAATAACGTCGTTGGGTTGCCTTCTGTGGTCGCCGAACTTAAGCCTGTGGCTGTGTCGCGGCTGGAATTCCCGTTCGAATCTCTGAGTCGGCAATCTACAGAGTCAGCAACCAAAACGCGATCTATGCGAAAATTTCCCCAGCGATGATGTCCAGAAGCCCTCCAACCTTCATAGTAGCCAAAATTGTCCTTAACTCGTAGAGGCCTCCATCGGATGAGGGCCGATTCCTCTCCACGACGCAGAGAAAAACCACCGATCTCTCCCCTCATCCCTCTTTTCCAAGAAGAACATGCCTTTGTTTTAATTCTATCTTGATGCTCTTCAAAACTCATTCCACATCGCAATGCTTGTATATAAAAGTATATTTATAGTCACAAGTTTTATTTCAATGACATCTTAAGGAAATCCTCATATGTTAAAGTCACCATATTCTATGATCATATCTCTAAAAATACTTCAACATACCTGGATCAGTTAGATATTATAGTGATATTAATTTCTTCGAAATAAAGATACATGTGGTTAAAGTTACTATGAGTATAATGTCATAATCAATTAAGTGTAAAAAATGAACATAAATTACAATGACAAAAATCGATTGGTGGTTCTCTTTTTCAGTTTATCAGTCATTTTTCACCGAATACGTAGCATTCAATTTCACGTGCTAGATTGTATAATTATCAAAAAGTGAGCTTGATGTTACTTTTTGACTAAATTGATTGAAGTTACTATATAAGACCGTTTTACCTATTTTCATATAATAGTTTTTTCTTAATTCAATCAATTCAGTGGCTTCAACCAAAAACTCATCAATTTCAGGAGAATATGGAGATCCACCCATTTTCATTGTTACCAAACAGACACTTTGAAGATCCACCCATTTTCATTGTTACCAAACAGACACTTTGAAATTTAGAGATTAGTAATAATTATCTCAATGACTACGTGAAATTTAGGCTAATTTGTAGCATCTTATTTACTTGTAGGGAAAGCTTCTGGGCTATGTTTAAAAAACCATCCTGACCCGGCTGGGTTGACCCGGGACCCGCTGACCCAGACTAAAACTCGGTTTGATTAATTAAAAACCCGGAAATGGTAAAAAGCCGGAAAATCCTAGCCGACTCGGGAAAACGCGGTTCGAATACGGACCCGAAAAATCTGGTCTAGTATGATTTGATTTGATATGAGCTATTTTCATCATAAACCGAATCAAAATGCCTCATATGGCCCTACGCTCCTACTCCATTTTTATATTGTGTAATGTGTACGTATGTAAAATTGAATATTTAGACATGAAAAACACATCTTTTCCCTGTAGCGAGAGTAACATGTACTGAGAAGAGCAGAGAAGCTTGCTATCTCTCTCTCTGTCTTTATGCAGCTTGCCTTTAAAATGTCTTTTCAATTCCTTGATCCAAAAGGTGGAATCTCCCTGCCCAGGAGCCCCACACCGATCTGACAGGATGGTGAAGGAGTAAGTCACAGTGGTTCGTCAGCAAAGTGGCAGTAGGTCATACACCCGTACGCACCCGAAGTCCAATCTTATTTCAGAGGTTCAATCTTATTTCAGTATATGTAAGCTCCACTCAGTCCCAACGAGATTCAAACTTTGGTCTATTGATCCAAATTTCCAATCATTCCATCAACAGCTATGAGTGCTGATCTCTCTCTTTAAATTTCTCGGCACATATGGATACTACTCCGTATAAGATATTGTCAAATTCCGCATCTAAGCTGAGCTGTTCTATTCAAATTACAGTTTCAAAGTCTCCTTTAAGAAAATCCTTGGATGCTTTCTCTTTTACTTTCCCTTAAATCGTGGGAAGAAATCTTTTAATTCTATATACCCATATGTGCGATATATCTTGTCTTCATCACACCCATATTAATTCTCTACCAAGAGAAGAAGACGAAGAGGTCGAAACAGAGTGTTCAATCAGTCACAGATCTCAGGAATGAGCTGAGGTGGGCATTGCTTTATTTAATTCCTTTTCATTTATTATATTATATTTTAATTTTTACCCCCTTCTTTTTTTGCAGGATATTTTAATTCCTGGGCAGTTGTTTTGGATCTGGGGTCATATACTCAGATTACAGAGTATATATTTGGATCAGAAAAAAGCCAAGCTAGCTAGTTGCTTCTTCTTTCTTCTTCTAGAATAATAATATGTGTGCTCAAAAGCAAGCAGAAGAGCCAATAATAGCCGCCCCAAACACCATTGAAGGAGAAGAGAAGTCTGATCATGAAGGTTTCAGTGTGAAGAGCTTTCTCTGGCATGGCGGCTCTGCTTGGGATGCTTGGTTCAGCTGCGCTTCCAATCAAGTACTTGCACACCCACCATACCACACAACTCCTTCACCTATGTTAGCACGGAAAACGAGAAACGAGAACGTCATCTTTTACTCGAAAAAACAATCGTTTTGAGAATTTCGAAAGAGTTTCTCGAGGCGTAGCTAGGAGCCAACCTAGGCTCCAGTCCACTATCGAATTTTAAAAATGTCTATATATTTATTGTAAAAATTGCGTGTAAATTTTTTCAAGATAACTATTTGTACTGGCCCAATCCGGTCTAGCGTCCTAGCTCCGCGCGTGTACAATTACAAGCATTGATTAAATTGATGGCATGTTTCTTTAATGTCAGGTAGCACAAGTGCTTTTGACACTGCCATATTCGTTTTCCCAGCTGGGAATCGCGTCGGGCGTGGTGTTCCAAATCTTCTACGGCGTGGTGGGCAGCTGGACGGCGTACCTTATCAGCGTCCTCTACGTTGAGTATATAAGCAGGAGGGAGAAAGAAGGTGTCACCTTCAACAACCATGTCATTCAGGTCAGCCATTGATCATTAGTGATGAAGTGTTAGTTGACTTAAAATTTTGAAATGTTTGACTTATACACTAAAGTTCAGGTCCGGCCAGGCCGGACCACTCCCTCCGTCCGGCCTCCTCCATTTGGGGGCTTTCCCGATTGTATTTTTTGCTCAAATTTTTTGTGTAGGTTCCTCATCAAGTCTAGTTCATCCATACCAAATTTCAGACAAAAATTCAATCGGGAAGGTCGTCAAATGATTTTTGCAAGTTAACTGGTCCGGAAAATACATATTCCGGACCAGTTAACTTGCAAAAATCATTTGACGACCTTCCCGATTGAATTTTTTTCTGAAATTTGGTATGGATGAACTAGACTTGATGAGGAACCTACACAAAAAATTTGAGCAAAAAATACCACCGGGAAGGCCCCCAAATGGAGGAGGCCGGACGGGGCTCCGGTCAGGTATACCTGACCGGAAGACTACTCTGACTTATAATTGCCTCAAACTATGATGTGGTATTATTAATGATGTACATAACCCCATCAAAGTACAATTTAATTGCAGAATAAATGAAAAAAGATTACTATTTTTATACAATTTAGAGAAGTTGATAAATTTAGTTGCATTTCAAAAATTATAATCGTTTGGTGGCACGAAAAATTATACTGCTGAAATTATGAAAGAATTTAATTTCATAATTTAATGCTGAAATTTATGAAGTTCTGGCTGAAATGGCTGCATTGACTGATTCTGCTGATTTAAGAAAAAAAAAATTTAAAATATATTTTATTAATAAAATGAAGAAAAAGTTATATGTAAAAATAGCTAAAATTGTCATCTACAGTAATTTCAACCAATACAGTCATAAAAGTAACTACAACCTTATTTTTTCTACTTATTACACAATTCAACGCTCGAAAGCAAAAGTTACACTGTTACTTATTACGTGTTCATGTCTAAATTTGTTTTACAAAGTATCATGTGCACGATTAAATATAAAATAAGAGAGTGTGACACATTTTTGAAATCGCATGGGCTAAATTATTTATACTTATAGCATAACAAATTTTGATGGATTAAATTCTAATTGAACATAATTATGGTCATAATCGTATGTTGAGAATCGTACACGGTAAATTATTGCCACTGAAAAAGAGTAAAGGTAATATAAGTAAAAACATGACAAGAAATAAAAAATAACTTTGTTCAATGAGAAAGAATCAAGAAGTCATCAAGTATGCATTAATATCAACAAATAATCCAAGTTATCTGCTTTCCCATTGGAAAAAATATATGCAATGTCTTTTAGAGTATGTTTGTGCAATTCAGTCAAACCAATTTTAATTTTATATTTTTGTTATTATGTAATTCTATACGTAAACTAAAAAATTATATGCCTAATGAAAATGTTTGCTCATAAAATAACAATAACAGTTATCAAATGTGCTCTTAAATTTGTACTTTGAAAATTAGCCCAGTGAAATAACTTCGCTTTTTTCAGCATAATATTTCGACAACACTTGTACAATTCAACAAGAAAAATAATTTTAATCTTATATTTTATTATTACCCAAGTCAAAAGTTACATGTCTGGCTACGGACAATAACTTAACCAGAATATTTCTATTAAAATACGAACAATAATATCCATAAATACCCATATCTTCGTGTCTTGGTCAAGCCTAAACTTGGTGCCATTTACTGTAGTGGTTTGAAGTTCTAGATGGGTTACTTGGACGCTACTGGAAAGCGGTGGGGCTAATCTTCAACTGCACCTTTCTTCTGTTTGGTTCTGTGATTCAACTCATAGCATGCGCTAGGTATGGACTAGCGGACAGCTATCTCTCCGTTTGTCTAATTGTGAAGTCGGAATTACTCCGTACTTGATCTAATTGGGTCCACTTAAATGCACAAATGATATTTTAGTCATCGATAATGATGCATTTTTTTGTACAACTTTTCTTGGTGGAGCACATTAGTACAATTGTTTTAAGTTTCTACCCCGACCATTCAAATTTTTTGAGTGATAATGTCAAATAACCCTTCAAAAGTAATTACCGTGAGCCCGTTTGGTAATCCAAAATGGATGTATTGATTGATTTTGCTGAAATTTATTAAATGACTATATTGGCTAATCTTGTTGATTTGAGGAAAAAATATTTAAAACATATTTTATTAATAAAATAAAGAAAAAAATTATATGATAAAATAACTAAAATGATCTTCTATAGTAACTTCAGCCAATACAATCAGAAAAGTAACTTTAACCTTACCATTTCAATAATTATTAAACAATGCAGCGTGCGACATCAAAAGTTACGTGTTTGATGAAAAACTGGCTGATAAACCTAATAATCCAAAAATCATGGTTACCACACGGGCTCTGTATGTTGTTGCTTCATTTCAGAAATTTCAAACACCAAAATGTTGAGATACCATTAATGCATATTACTCAATCTTTTAAATTAATAATTGAAACGTTGTGAGTGTGGATAACTATTATTGACAGCAACATTTACTACATAAATGATGCATTGGACAAGAGGACATGGACATACATATTTGGAGCATGCTGCGCAACCACAGTTTTTATTCCTTCTTTCCACAACTTCCGGATTTGGTCCTTTTTTGGCCTCGGAATGACCACCTATACAGCTTGGTATCTCACCATTGCCGCTATTGCTCACGGACAAGTAATATTATTAATTAAATAATAATAATAATACTATTTCAAACCACTTAATTCTAGCTAGTAATTAACTTTGTTACTGTGTTAATTAACAAGGTTGAAGGTGTTAAACACTCTGCTCCAACAAAGCTTATGTTGTATTTTACCGGAGCCACCAACATTCTGTACACCTTTGGGGGTCACGCAGTTACTGTGTAAGTATTTTTACTTGCATCTTCGTAGGGGCGCATTCCGATTTACGGAGTATCGAGTACTCCATCCGTTTCAAAAAGAAAAGTCACTGTTTGACTTCACGATAATTAAGAAAATAAAATGACTTTACTGTAGAAAACACTGTTTAGACACTGTTTGACACTGTTTGAACACTGTTTGGCACTGTTTGGACACTGTTACGCACTGTTTGGCACTGTTTGGATGTAGATTTCTTTGCCAAATAAGAAAATAAGGGAAGTGTGATTTTGTTTTTGAAACATCCAAAGAAGGAAATTGTGAGTTTCTTTTAGAAACGGATGGAGTATATATTAAGCCGAATCGGTACGTTAAAAATGAAATTTAAGGTGTTCTAAGACTTTGGGAGTATAAAAGTTGATTTTTTCCCACATTTAGTCCTCCGACTATTATGTCATTGACACTTTTGGTACTTGACTTTGATTTTTTCCATTTTTAGTCTTTGACTACTGTGCTAGAGATACTTTTGGTACCCGTCTTTGATAATTTCCATATTTAGTCCTTCAACTTTTATAAAAGTGACACTTTTGGTCCTTCAACTACTATAATAATGACTTTTTTAGTGCTTCACTTATTGTGTCAAAATCATAATGGGAGGACTATAAGTGTCAATTTGACAATACTCGGGGACTAAATGTGGGAAACCTTGAAGTCGTGAACTAAAAGTGTCTCTAGTACAATAGTCAAGGACTAAAAATGGAACAATTAGAAGTCGAGTACCAAAATTGTCATTGACATAATAGTCGAGGGACCAAAAATGACAAAAACTCTATAAAAGTTCATCAAAAGCTTCAATATATAACGAAATGTGGAAGAAGGGGTGGACGGTTGACCCAGTCCCAGCCCGGTCCCGATTTCGATCCCGGCGGCGGTCCCGATCCTTGGTAGGAGAAGCTCCGGTTTGACCCGGTGAAATCCGGATCTTGACCGGTTCTGGGTAGTTGGGCAGTTTGGTCCCGGTCCCGAATCGGAACCGGTTCCATTCAAGTTTTTGCATTTTCCCCAATTTTCAAGCTAAAAAAAATACTCCCTCCGTCCGGCAAAATAGTTCCCATTTCCCATTTTGGAAAGTTTTGTGTGGTTCACATTCATTTATCTTTTTCTTACACAACCACAATTATACATTTTCACTTTATTCCCACTTTCTTAAACTCCGATTCAAGTCAATGCGAGAACTATTTTATGGGATGGAGGGAGTAACTAGTTTGGTGACCAATACCGTACTCAAAAGAGTAAATTGGGATGAGATAACATGCTTGAACGGACTATGGGTGGTCCCAAACTTTTAAACATGGTTTGGTTCCAAAGAGTATTGGATCCGATTCTAGACCGGGCCGGACTCATTGGGATTTCATATTCAACAAAGTCCGACACAATCATACAATTACGAGGAGAGATCAAAATGTGTTTTTTCTCATTTCGACTTTTTACTAATAACTTTTTAATTTGTCAATTTCCATTTTTTAATATGGAGTTCTATCGAGTTCTTGGTATTATACACATATGTATACACACATAGGTCATAAGTGTTACTCCCTATGTCCTTAAAAGAAGTTTCAACTTTTCTTTCCGTTCGTCCCAAAAAGAATTTCACTTTCCCTTTTTGACAAAAAATTGTGGTTCACAACAATTCTTACATATTTCTACACATTTCTCTCTTCTCTGTACAACTCTCCTCCACACAATTTCCACTTTCTTAATCTGTGTACTATTTATACTACGGAACAACATTTAGAGATGGAGGGAGTATAATATAGTGAATAATATTCTCTCCCTTCCTTTTTATTTAGTCAAGTTTGACTTTTCAAATCAATGGTATTAAACTTTGATTGATTATACATATCTATACACCATAGTATTGATAGTGTAAAAATATTATTATAAAAGTTAAATTTTTTTAATTTTAGATAAATAATTCAATTAAAATGATGGATCAAAGTTCATAATCTTTGACAGAAAATAGAATAATCCAAAAGGTAGTATAAGATAGAATAATGAACCAATCAGAATGATGCAGTTGAATTATTTAAATCTAAATTAAAAGGGATATAATGATTTGGACCAATCAGATGCATGATATGGTACCCCCATTTTCCTAATAGGTACCGGAGTTGTAAGATAATAATCTACATTAAAATGTTCGTCGATTTTACTCCCAAAGTCCCGTGTGATCTGCTTGTTCCGTATTTGCACGAAGTAATCTACTCCGTATTTTTTAGACCATAAAACCGTACTATACAATCTAGTTTTTAAAAAGGTGACAACTCTGATACCCTTCTAAAAAATGGGGTATCGTACCTACTATTCATTTGATTGAACCATACCACTTTATCATTTTTAATTTAGATTTAAATTATTCAACTGCTAGATTCTCATTGGTCCATGTGGATAAAGGTATGGTACCTTATGGGTACCATAGAATCTACCTTTTAAAAAATGCGTAGTACTACGTAAAAGAATTAAAACGAAACACGTACATTTCTTAGATTTTAGGAAAATTTTGTAACCCGTGAACTATGATCTGAAAAATTGAACTATAATTGACCTTGTTGGTAGAAAATATTCCGGGTAGAGAAACTAGCAGCATTTCAGTATAGTAAAATAGCGTAGAGAATACATGGGGGGTGATGGCCTATTTATAGGCATCCATCACAAGTCCAAAGTCTAACCTACGTGGGCTTGGCCCAAATACATAATACATCTTGAAGCTAATGGGCGAACCGGCCTGATAAATAAATAAATGAGCAAGGGGCGATTCCCGCTCGTGAGACTGCGTCTTGGGCCTAGTTGGGCCAGAGCTCAGGGATAACGGGCCGATGGCACTGGGCCTGGGATATTATCCCAACACGAGTCCCCCACTCCCTTAGTCGAGTAGTAGACTCGGCTAAAAGGGAGTAGTTGAGCTGCTTTGAAATCGGCCCGGTTGCCATGCTAGCTAGCTAGTTACACAGATGATTGTTGATGATGACGATCTGCGGTGTGCCTGGAAAGGTTAGTCATGTAACCATCCGCTGTGATCCCATAGTGTTGCGCAAGGACGAGGCCCTCCTTGTCTGGGTAGCATCCCAGGGTCCTGGTTATCTGGCCAGCTGCCCGGGGTCTTCCTTGCTCCAACCGGGAAGACCTCTTCCTTTGTTCATGATGAGGGGATGCCTCGTTAAAACCTTACTAGGAAAAAACCCGGTGGGAAAAAATCCTAGTGAAGGAAAAAGAGTACACCGGTACCTCAAAATAAAACAGAGGAAGGCCAGTCTCGTCAGTTCTTGATTGAGCGTCTGCTTTACCAGTAAGCCGAGATATGTTCTGGGAAGGCCAGTCGCTCCTCTGTTTGCCAGTGGTGGCGGTTGAGCCAAGGCACGCTCGGGAGAGACTACCCGCAAACTGTCTGCTGGTGATGTCGAGCCAAGGTATGACCAAGAGAGGCCAGTCACATACTTGTTTGCCAGGAATGGCGAGCCGAGGTATGCTCGGGAAAGGGCGGTTGCACATCTGTGCACATTGATCCCCACTGCTTGCGAGAGGATAAAGTTTCCTTCGTCTGGGTAGCAGTTTTAGGTCTTGTTTATCCGATTAGCCTCCCAAGGTCTTATTCTTCCGATCAGCAGCCTGGGGTCTTGTTTGTCCAATTAGCAACCCAGGGTCTCATTTGTTTGATTAGAAGCCCGGGGTCTTCTTCTGGTGGAGAGATCTCTTCTTTGAATGCACCCAAAATGGAGCTAAAGGGTAAGTTCTTAGGCCATTGTGTGCAGCTGCAATGGTCGCCATCCGCCGAGGGGATAACAAAGACCGGTCTTCACTTGTGAGCAGTGCTCGTTTGATGTTCTCGAGATAGATGCAATGAGTAGTCTGCCATGATAAGTAGTCCTTGTTGATTGTTATTATTACCTATTAGAGATGTGGCAGGTAAAAGAGGCGCTCTCGCTGCTTTAGCTGCAGTGTAAGATACTAAATATTGGCCTTCAAAGTCAGATGAAGGTCTATCTCAGGAAAGGAAGAGGCCCGGAGCTTCTCTGCCTGGTGTTGGGGAAAAGATAGGAGCTTCCTCGCTTTGCGAAGAACGACTTTCCAAGAAGAGCAAATGTATAAACTGCTCCTTAGGCCGGGTAAGGGGAGATAACCCAACCGGCAGAATCCTCGCTTACTCTGTTTGTTTCCTCACAGGTATGGCTGGTTGGAGAAGCGCATTTGCTGCCCTGCCCTGACCTTCATTTCCTCATAGGTATGGTAGGTCGGAGAAGTGCATTTGCTGCCCTGCCCTGACCTTCGTTTCCTCGTAGGTATGGATGGTCGGAGAAGCGCATTTGTTGCCTTGAATGCGACGAAAGATGCTAAGTCTCGACCTTTGACATCTGATGCAAGTGCATCTAATGTCGGGGAGAAGCACACAACTTCTCCACATGATGTCGGGGAGAAGCACGCAGCTTCCCTGCATAATGTCAGGGAGATGCTTAGAGCTTCAATGCCTGATACCGGGGAGAGGCACGCACCTTCCCTGCCTGATGCTGGGGAGAGGCACACACCTTCCCTGCCTGATGTCGGGGGATGCTAAGCTTCTCCGACTGATGCTGGGTAGAAGCATGCACCTTCCCCGCCTAATGTCGGGTAGATGCTAATAGCTTCTTTGCCTGATGCTGGGGAGAAGCACTCACCTTCCCAGGCTTGCGATGAAGAAATAGTCGTCATCCTTGTGGACGGCGGGCTGCCCCAATTATAGAATCAAAACGATGATGTTTAGTCCGGTCGTGATAAATCCATAGCAGCGGTCATCATCCAAGTGAAGGGGAATGCGACCGGTCTTGAAATGAGAATGGTGGCACTGAGCCGATCCTGACGAGGATAGCAACTCGTAGGCCGACTGTGAAATCAAAGCAGCGGTCATCATCCAAGTGAAGGAGGATCTGACCGGTCTTGAGACAGTGTTGAGGTTTATTCCTTCAACCCTTGGACCCAACACGTAAGCCCAAAGATTTCGAATGGAGTGAGTGTGTGGATATCTAGCCCAACAATTGTCAGATGGATCAGGAAAACAAAAGTAGTAGCAGGCAATGTAAATAGGTATTATTAACTTCGTAATAACTCCCCTAAATACAATCTACTTGCTAATAAGGCACGTCGGCCGTTCGTCTTACAAGGCACTTAGAAAGGCTGCAAGTAAGAATGCTGAAGCTAATATGCTAAGAATAGAAAGTTGCCAACCCTTTACAATGAAATAAATGCTACTATTTATACCCGCCAATGGGCAGTTAGTCCTGATGATGTGGAGGATTGTTAGTGGCTATGGCCCAACCACCAAATCTCCAGCATTAAATGCGCTTCCCGCCAGAATCTGAGTTCCCCGCCTAATTGATGACCACGATCGTCGGGTAGAACCGGGGGCCGTTCGTCTGCGGCCCTTCCTGGGAACGTAACAATCTTTTGGGCCTGGGCCATCTACGGAGATGGGCCTCGGCTGACGACGTTCGTCACGGATGTGCTAACCGACCCTCGGCCGGGACCTTGAGCTGTTATTCCGGAGATAGACATTCGTCCTCATTCCTTCAGGCCAGGGCCATCCGTGGGCTGGGCGACGTACGTCGGTTTGGGGGTAATTGGGCCGGACCCCTGCTCGGGGCCATTTACCCAACACAAGTCCCCCACTTCTGATGTTCCAAGCGTGCGTGGGACATAAGGAAGTATGCTGTGCCTCCTGGAGGATGTCCGTCTTCCGTACTTGCCTATGAGGAACTGGACGTACCTGACCGAAGGGTTCCCCGAGTTGGGCGACTGCGGGTGAATCGAGGTGGCGGCTGGCGGCGAAACGGTGCGACTCCCGATGGGAAGCTATCATTACGCGTATCGCTTCCCCAGGTTGGATTCCCGCCAGGGTACGCTCCTCGCCACGTGTCGCTTCTTCATTCGTCCCTCCGGGGGTGCCTCCACTATAAATACCAGAAGTCCCCTGATGTCTAGGGTTTCCGATTTCTGGTTTTTGCTTTCGAGTTCTCTTGCCGCTCTTCGGGTTTCTCATTACGTCTCCCCAAGTCCATCTCCGAGTTTTTTTAAGGTAATTATTCCTCCTCCCCCTCGTCCTTTCTTTTAGTGATGACTTCGATGGAGATCTCTTCGAGTTCGAGTTCTGGTTCTTCGGGCTCCGACTCTGATTCTTCCTCCAATTCTGGCTCCCGTTCCTCCGGGAAAACCAGCATTTCCGGCAACCCAGGCTCGGCGTCCACCGTAGGGACTATCCACGTCGACGGTGAGCAAGGCGCCGACATTTCCGAAGGTGCCATTGAGGCAGTGCCTCTGAATGAACGTGCGGCTGGGTATGACTCCGCGGATGAGGCTCAATCTGGCTCTGACCTGGAGGTGCACGATTTGGGTATCCCCATGGACGTGCAGAGGCACATCTGCAAGATTAAGAGCGTCTTAGAGCACAGGCAATCTCTCTCAAGTGTCGCCATGAACAAGATTGCTTCCTTCTTCCCCCATCCGTTCGTCTTTAGCCATAGTGGGGCTGAACATGCCATGCGGCGACGGCCGGGGATGATCATCCTGCATGTGGACTCCGTAGAGGCCGGTCTGCGGTTTCCCCTCCACCCTTTTTACGTGGAGTTCTTCAACTGCTACCAGGCAGTCCCGGCGCAGTTCATGCCCAACTCTTATAGGTTTATCTCCGCATTCCTTGTGCGCTGCTCGTCCGCGGAAGCCGATATATCCCTGGATCTGTTTCACTATTTTTACCGGGTCACCCCGCAGAATTCCGACGGTTATCTGAGTGTGGCCGCTCGTCCGAAGAGGAAGCTGTTTGAGCACTATCCTTCCTCCATCCATGATTGGAAGAATAGGCTCTTCTTCCTCAGATATGATGGTCCTCCCCTCCCAATCCGCTGGAACGGTTACCCCCCGAAGATTGAGTCGCCGGTGCTGACGGACGAGCTGGAGGCGGAAGTTAACAAAGTCCTGGAAGGCGGCATTCGCCCCATAGGAGAATACCTGACCCCCGAGGCACTCTCTGAAGCAGGCATAGGTACCGCCCGTGTTCCTGGATTCCTTCCCCCCTTGGATGCTCGTCTCGGGGCACGGGCGGTCCTGTCCTCTGAGGTGGGTGTTCCTCCCTATCCCTGTTCGTCTTTTCATATTCTTGTATTTCTCTCTTGCAGGTCTTCCTCTTACCGCTGACCAAATGGACAACGCCGAGTGCCTGAGGAACAGGAAGGCGAAGATGGCTGCGGCCAAAGCGGCCAGGGAGGCCGCCGCCCATGGTACCGGGTCGTCTGCCTCTGAGGCCGCCCGTCGGACTGCCGATGGTGAGCAGCATCTGATTGCCACCCTCCTGAATGAGGGGGCCATACCCCACCATGCTGAGTCTGCACTCCCCCCGCCGATCGCCGCAACGAAGGTGGTCCCCAAGAAGGGGGTCGAGAGGGCCCCGGAGAAGAAGCCAAAGAGGGGGCGAGACTGTTCTTCCTCCGGCCCGGTTGTTGAAGATGCCAACGGTCTCTCCCTGAGCCGGCCGGCGGAGGAGCTTTGGAGGGAGCTTGGGGCCAAGGCCGGCCTCGAACTGGCCCCCCCGGTCGTCTTCTGAAGCGACCAGCGCCGCTCTGGCAGCGGCCATCCAGGTATTGTCGCGGTTCGACTCATTGTCTCTCTGATGCCCGTCGTTATGTCATCTAATTTCTGTTCATTCCATTCCTTACAGTCAGGGCTGTTGGTGCTGCAAGCCGAGGCCGCCAGGGAGGCCGCCCTGCAAGAGGTGAAGAGCAAGGCCGATGCCGCCATTTTGAAGGCTCGGGAGGTCGCCCGTCGGGCAGAAGAAGAGGCTGCCTCGGCCAGGGAGGAGCTTCGGTCCGTTCAGGCTGAAACTGGCGCCCAACTGGCCTGCTTGGAGGAGGCCGGCTTCAAGCTTATGCCGGTGCTCCCGGCCCCCAAGGGTGCCATCCCGGAATGGTGCGTTGATACCTCCGGCTACCGGAATACTGGCGAGTTCATGGACTCGGCCAAGGATTTCTGCGCTGGGGCCTTTGGAGACGTGTTCTCTCATGCCCTGGAGAAGGTCCCGGCGAAGGATCGTCTGAAATACGGCGTGCGGCTAATGGGAAGCTCTCCCTTAGCGCGCCAATTCCTTTATGATTCTGCTGATAGCGCCTTCGCCGGTGGCTATAGCGAAGGGGTCAAAGCCTTTCTCCCCATCTTTGAGAAGCTTCTGGGCCCTGACGTCAACCCGGCCGATCATACGGAAGAGGACCTGCTGATTGAAGCCCTGGGGAAAATAAAGCGGGATAGGCGCCGAGCGGCGGCCATAGCTATGGGGGATATCCCGGAACCCCCAACCCCTGAGCCCGAGCCTCAAGTGGAAGAGCACACTCATGCCGGGAGCCGGCCATCGTCCCCCTATATGTGCTGATTTATATTTTAGTCTAGCCTTCCTTCCGATTGTAGCATATAGACTTGTACTTTCCAGCCGATAGTGCTGAAGAATAAAAATCCATGTTTTGCCAAAGCTCGTCTTTATGCCGTGTTTGTACCTTATTCTTTCAATGTACTCACGCCGTTCGTAGCCAGATGACGCGTAGCGTACCCGTAGTTTTTGCCGCCGGACGTCGTCATCTCCTGGCTTAGACGCCCGTTGCCTAGCCAGGCCCCTCGCACCTTGGGCATCCGGGCCCTTCGGTCGTATGCTTTCGAACTAGTCCTGCCCTTGCCACCTTAGATAGCCGATTTACAAGACTAATAAGGCGTCGCTATTTGTACGAGTTGCCCTGAGGGACGGGGCATTGTGTCCGACAATGTTCGTCTGGTGTTGCCCTCCCAGCTTGTGGGGATCCCAGGTTCTGTGGTCGACGTCCGTCGTCAGGCCCGAATTCTAAGATCCGTCAGCGGCCTCTTGGCTTCCCCAAAAGCGCGGGGCTCGAGGTGCCTTCCAGAATTATTACTATGCCGGTGTTATTTGGACACGTGCCAGCCTGCGGTTGGTGTCGATCTGCAGCATTTCGCTTATAAGTGCCCAAATACCACGAGATCAGTCATCGTCGATTCATTTAGCCCATACGCTGCGGAAATATATTCTCTCTCTAGCAACCTCTACGAGCCGGATTTATCCCCAGTACCCAAGCAAAAGGTACCGTTCGTTGCCATGTCCTCCGAAAACCGCCTCGACGATGGTTATTCTTCTGGTGAAGACTTGGAGTATTATGAGCGGGGAATGCCGCCCTGGCCTCCCCGTTATAGCCTCAGCTTTTCGTACGTTCGGCGTCAAATCCAACGCCTGACGAATGCTGACAAGCGTCTGATCAGCCAATGGTTCTATCCACCAAGGACCTACGACGATCGGCGTCTGCGCAACCCCATGCGCCATCTGCCCGGCTACGTGGTGGTCCACTTGGATTCGGTGATAGCCGGGCTGAACTTTCCCTTGCATAGCTTCCACTTGGAGCTCTTCAGGGCCCTTGAGATAGTGCCTGCGCAGTTCGTCCCTGCCGCCTATCGGATAATCGCTGGCTTCATCATTAGATGCCACAGCGTCGGTGTGACCCCCACCGTGGACCTGCTGCACCATTTCTTCCGGCTGTCCCCCTTCGGACGCACGGGATATCTGACCCTGATCGCCCGTCCGTCCATGGTCCTATTCTCGAACAATGCTGGGAATCCGGATGGTTGGGAAGAGCGCTTCTTCCTGGCCGGATTAGGCTCACCGATGCCATTCTCTGACCGGTGGAATGCTTACCCGGTGAAGACGATCCCGCCGCCCATGACGGACGAGGAGCTCGGATATGCCAAGCGCATAGCCGGACTTGGCATCCAGAACCTCCGGTTGCTGGTGGCCGAGCCTTTTAAAGCTCGGGCTGGGTTAGGTGCGTCCGTTTGTACTTGTATTGTTTTAACTTCTCTCCACTGTTATGGCTCTGAACGTCTTGGTTCCCTTTGTGCAGGAATTTTTCCTTCCACGTCTACGATGAGCCGGGTCAACGCTGCTTTGACTGCCGCCGGCCGTGAACACAAGGGGCATGACAAGCCGGGGAAGCCGCTCGTCCCCAAGGTCGAACCTCGGGTGACTAGGGCACGAGAGGATGACGCTTCGGGGGCCGGTGCCTCCAAGAGGCCACGTGCTGAGGGCACCTCCTCCAAGGCCATCATTGTGGCCGATGATTCCGATGGGGAGCCCGGGAGTCCCCTCAAGCGGAAACCTACTTCCCGGCCCCATCTTCGTGCTTCTCCCCCGCAGAATTCCGACGTCCGCCGTCTCCGGGACGATGATGCCCAAGCTGCCAAGGGTTCTGGCGACGCTCGTCCAAGCTCGCCTCCCGAAGCCAGTGGGTCTTCTTTTGGACTGATTGAGTTCTCCGGGGTTGGTCCCCGCAAAGAGTCAATGATGCTCTTCGGCCAGACAGCGTCCTCCATCTGGTGTGGGCTGAATCTCAAGGTTCCGCAGGACTTCGCCGCTCAGGAGGCCCCTGAAGATCTCTTGGAGTGCGGCCAGAGCACGCTGGATAAGGCCGGGCTCTACTTCCACAGGGCTCGGATGGCCTTCGAGCGCCAGGGCAGGGAGATGGCTAGAGTACGGGCTGAATGTGATGCCCTTCTGAGGAATGCAAAAGGCAGGGCTGGCACCCTTCAAGAGAAAGCCGAGGCCTACGATAAGCTCGTTCAGGAGAATGCCTCTCAGAAGGAGCTTCTCAAGAAGCAGGAGGCCGAGCTCGTGGATCTCCGCAGCCGGATGTGGGCCGTAGAGCAGGCCAAGGTGGAGCTTCGCCGGACGGGCATGGACAACCATGTCCCTATTTATGAGGCCGATGTTCCCAAAATCAAGGAGTCTGGTTCCATTGCATTCCAGAAATCCAAAGCTTACACTGGTGCCATTCACACCATGGCCATGAAGTTTCTCCCGAGGCTCGTCGGAGAATTTCTAGCCACCTGCCCGGATGCCTATCTGGATGGGGTCAAATTGCTCCAGGCCACCCCCACCGGACGGCGTTTCCTTGATGATCTTGCCGATGATACTTATCGCAAGGGCATGGTTGGGCTCGTAGCGGAGAATCTCCCCACGTTCGAGCGTCATTTCGGGGCTCCTTTCGATCCGGAGGCGGCTGGCTTTGATGTTCTGATGGCGGACGCTCATGCGGGGGCCCTCGAGCTGCTGAAGGAGCAGGCGGAAGCCAGAGCTAGTGAAGAATGCAAGCAGGCTCTTTCCAAAGTTCCAGCTCCGGACGTCGATCGAAAGTGATTCTCTGTTCATGACCTTGTACTTGTACAATTTTTCCCATTATTTTCATTGTCTTGTAATTTCCCGGCCAATAGTGCCGAAGAATAAAAAAGAATCATTCTTTGCTCCTTGCTCTTCAGGCATTTTTTTTTTTTTTTTTTTTTTTTTTTGGAGTCTTTTAGTCTTCGTTCGTCCTTGGTCCCTGGTCCCACCGGCGTCCCTACTTCGAGGAGACGTCCGGTGTCCGCCGACATCGCAAGGAGGAACAGGTTTATCTACATCGAGATTCCCTGGTGCTTCGTTCGTCCGTGGTCCTTTTGGCCTTACCGACGTTTCTTGCTTCGAAGAGGACGTTCGGTACCCAAGGACTCGCAGGGACGAACAGGTCTACCCTCACGGGTCCCCGACTTTGTTACCCCACGTCCATCGATCCATGGTCGTTTGTGGGATAAACAGGTTTATCTTGGCAGGCTCCCTTGGTTCGTCTAGCCCCCTCCGCGTCTCTACTAACCTCTACACCGAGAGGCGTTCGTCTTCGGCGGTTGGAGAAGATCTGGCACACCCGGGCAAGATTCCCTTCTACATAGGAGCTCCTCCCCTCTTCTCCCCATTTTTTTTTTTTTTTTTTGGTGGAGGCAATCCATACTCTTCGTTCGTCCTTGGTCCCTGGTCCCACCGGCGTCCCTACTTCGAGGAGACGTCCGGTGTCCGCCGACATCACAAGGAGGAACAGGTTTATCTACATCGAGATTCCCTGGTGCTTCGTTCGTCCTTGGTCCCTGGTCCCACCGGCGTCCCTACTTCGAGGAGACGTCCGGTGTCCGCCGACATCGCAAGGAGGAACAGGTTTATCTACATCGAGATTCCCTGGTGCTTCGTTCGTCCTTGGTCCCTGGTCCCACCGGCGTCCCTACTTCGAGGAGACGTCCGGTGTCCGCCGACATCACAAGGAGGAACAGGTTTATCTACATCGAGATTCCCTTCTTTAACGGTCGTTGGCAAGAACGGAATTGATGAAAACAGGGGCCTTATTATTGACGACGTCCGGCCATTTTACATGTAGTGGGAATAATACAAGGACAACAGCCCCTAACTATTGATAGAATTTCTTCAAGTGTTCTACATTCCACATCCCGGCGCGGTTCCCCTCCAGGGTGTGGAGGAGGAACGTCCCCTGGTTATATCTTCTGATGACCCGGTAAGGTCCTTCCCAGCTCTTCGCCATTTTGCCGCCTTCGAGCGGCTTGCTCTTCTCTCTTTTCCTGAGTACGAGGTCCCCGGCCTCTATTTCGCGGAATTTCACGGCCTTGTTGAAGTATCTCTGGGTGGCCCTGTGATACTCTTCCATGCGACGAGCCGCTAAGTCCCTCCGTTCCTCGACGAAATGGAGCTCTGCTCGTAGGTTGATCTCGTTGTCCTCCGGCTGGAAGTGCTTGGTGCGATGGGTAGGTACCAGTACCTCCGTTGGTACCTTAGCTTGGAACCCGTAAGCCAAGGCAAAAGGGGTTTCCCCAGTCGCCGTCCTGGGCGTCGTCCTGTACGTCCATAAAACATAATTCAGCTGCTCCGGCCAGGTGGAGGTGTAGTCTTCCAACTTCTTCTTGATCCCGTCCATGATGGTCCGGTTCATGTTCTCCACTTGGCCGTTGGCTTGCGGGTAGGCCACCGAGGCCTTAGAGTGCCTGATGCCCCACTTCGCCAAGTATGCCTCAAAGCCTCTGCCGACGAACTGCCGACCGTTGTCTGTGATGATCTGCTCCGGGATTCCGAAGCGGCAAATGATGTTCTGCCATACGAACTTCTGGCACTGGAATTCAGTGATGGAGGCCAATGGTTCGGCCTCGACCCACTTCGTGAAATAATCAACCGCCACAATGACGAACTTCCTTCCACCAGCAGCCGTTGGCAGAGGACCCAGCAGGTCTACGCCCCACCTAGCAAATGGTAGCGCGATGGTCATCGGGGTGTAGAAACTCGCCGGTCGGCCAGGGACAGGTGCATACTGCTGGCATACTGCGCACTTCCGCGTGTGGTTGAAGCAATCTTGCTGTATGGTCGGCCAGTAATAGCCCTGCAGGATGATTTTTCTGGCCAAGGTTCGGGGGCCCTGGTGGCTTTGAAACCTTCGGGGGAAGTGATCACTGCTCCTCCGCCGCAGCCCCGCGCACTCGAGGCCCCATCGGTGTACATCTCCCACCAATCGTCAAAACCATTGTTGTCATGGGTTCCGTCCTCGGTGCGCACGGTGCATTCCGCAATGAAGTCCGCCAGAGCCTGCCCTTTGATCGTCGGCCTCGGCTTGAAGTCCACGTCATACTGGCCGATCATCAAGGACCACTTCGTTATCCTTCCGCTTGCCATTGGGTTCCTGAGGACTGTGGCGAGGGGCTGCGTCGTGTAGATAGTCACCGGGTGTGCTTGGAAATACGGTGCCAGGCGCTTGATGGATGCAATCAAGGCGAGGATCGTCTTTTCCATCAGTGTGTACCTCGTCTCGGGACCGTTCAGCGCCTTACTTACAAAGTATATTGGCCGCTGAACGCCTTCAGATTCCTTCAGCAGCGCGGCACTTACGGCCAGATCGGCTACTGCCAAGTACATGTATAATCTCTCCCCGGGGTCTGCCTTGGTGAGGACGAGCGGAGAGGAGAGATATACCTTGAAATCCTCGAAAGCAGTTTGGCACTCCGGGGTCCATTGAAAGGGATTGGCCTTCTTCATGATCTGAAAAAAGGGGATCGCCTTATCAGCCAACTTGGATAAGAATCTGCTCAGGGCCGCCAGACGCCCGGTGAGCCGCTGCACGTCTTTTAGGTTCTTTGGGGCCTCCATGTCCATAATCGCCTTCACCTTCTCCGGGTTAGGCTCGATCCCCCGCTCGCTCATCATGTAGCCGAGGAACTTGCCGCCCCTGACGGCGAAGGCGCACTTCTTCGGATTGAGCCTCATGCTGGCCTTCTCCATGATGCTGAAGACCCTCTCCATGTCCTGGACGTGGTCCTCCTTTTTCTTGCTTTTGATCAGGATGTCATCCACGTAAGCTTCCATTGTCTTTCCAAGTACGTCCTTGAACAACATCCCAATCATCCTCTGAAAAGTAGCCATGGCGTTCCTCAGGTCGAAAGGCATGACGATGTAGCAGTACACGCCGTCCGCCGTAACGAACGCCGTTTTTTTCGGCATCATCGGGGTGCATGAACACCTGATGGTAGCCCCTGAATGCGTCCATGAAGCTGAGCAGCTCGCAGCCTGCTGTCTCATCCACCAGCAGGTCGATCCTCGGGACAGGGTAAGGGTCCATCGGACAAGCTTTGTTGAGGTCCGAGTAATCGACGCACATCCGCCAAGTGTCGCCCTTCGGGGCTAGAACCACGTTGGCCAACCACTCCACGTGGATGACTGGCCGGATATGTTTGATGCTGAGGAGAGTTGCTGTTTCCTTCCTGATGAAATCGCGTCGGTCGGCCGCCATATATCTCTTCTTCTGTTGTATAGGCTTGGCATCCGGCCGCACGGCGAGTTTATGGCATATGAGGTTGGGGTCGATGCCCGGCATGTCCTCCGGCCCTCTGGCGAACAAGATCCTGAACCTCCGGAGGATGGCTATGACCCCTGCCCTGATTTCCGGCTCTAGATCCGCACCAATGGACACCTTCCTGTCCGTCGGACTGTCGAGTTCAATTTCCTCTAGCAGAGTTGCTGGTTCCAGATGAGCGTCCAAGTCGGCCTGTTTGGCCTTTTCGGAGATGCTGTTGACCCGAGCCTCCCGCTCGTTGAGCTTCTCCATGGCCTTCGTGTAGCAGGCCCTGGCCATATGTGGGTCCGTACGTGCCACCCCCACTCCAGTGTCGGTGGGGAATTTGATGCATGAATGTCGTACGGAGCATATGGCCCCCAAGTCTTCCAAGCCGGGTCGGCCCAAAATGGCGTTGTGGGCGCACTTCAGGCGGACCACGACGAACGTCATTCTGATCCGGGCGGTGTGGGGGCCATCGCCGATCTCCACTGGCAAGATGATGGTGCCCTCAGCGTCAATGCAATCCCCGGTGAAGCCGGACAGCGGGGTGCGCAGAGGGTGCAGCATGTCCTTCCTGAGCTTCATTCCCTCGAAAGCCTCCCAGTAGAGGACGTTCACACTGCTCCCGGTATCAACGAGGACGCGACGGACGATAGCATCGTTCACGTCCATGCTGATCACCAGCTCGTCTCTGTGCGGCGCCGGTGACATTGGCAGGTCAGCGGGGCCGAAGGTAATTGCCTCGACTCTATTGCGCTTGGTGGGGGGTGCTGATACGGAACCCACATAGAGTGACCTCTCAAATTTTTTCCGCTCGGCGGGTGTATCCCCTGTCTCAGCGCCCCCGAAGATCACCTTGATCTCCAATTTCTTCTTCTTGCCCTTCGGGCCGAGGGATCCCTCCGGACGTTTATCTGCACTTCGATAATCCACGTCCTGAGGTTCTGCCTCGCGCCGATCATCGCGGCGCCATGTCTTGTGCCTTGAGTTCGGCTTCTGCTGGCTGTTTTTGTTCAGCAGCTGGGTGAACTCGCCCAGGTACCCCTGACGGATCAGCTCGTCGATCGCTTTCTTTAATTGGCTGCAATTATCCGTCAGGTGGCCGGTCCTCTGATGGTATTCACAGTAGGCCGATTGGTCGTGCCCCATATGCTTACTCATATCCTGGGGTTCCGTTAGTAGGCCCTTGTCCTTGATGGCCTCAAAGATTTGGCTCACTGGATAGGCCAATGGGACATATCGGTCGTCCGGCCGTGCTTGAGTATCCCCGGACGGAGCCTTCCAAGGGACCATCGCCCCGTCCGTCCTCTTCTTTTTGTTTGGGGGGGAGGGCCCGGGTCCCGGCCCGGGCCCGAGTCTGTCCGCCATCTTCCGTGGGTGGGCCGCGGGAACTCCGTCCCGCTGCCTGATCTCCTCCTCAATGGAGGCATACTTCTGGGCCCGAGCAAGAACCTCGGTGTAGCTGGTGCCGGGATTCCTCCTTAGGTCCCGGTATAGATCCCCTGTGGCCAGCGCACTGGTGAACATGTTGGTGGCCAGACGTTCGTCCAGATCGTCGACCTGCAGGACCTCGTCCCTCCACCTTACCAGGAACCTAGCCAGCGGTTCGTCCCGCCCTTGTTTGATGTGGGCGAGAGCCGTGACGTCCTTCCTGGGGGTGGTGCTGGCAGCAAACTGCGCCATGAACTGCTGGGAGAGCTGTTCGTATGAGTCGATGGTGCCTGGCCTCAACTGGCCGAACCATTCTTGCGCCGGCCCCCTGAGGGTGCTGAAGAACAATCTGCAGATGGCCTCGTCTGATGCTCCCAGCATGGACAGGTTCCCTTGGTAGCTTATCAGATGGGCCTTGGGATCGCCAGCCCCATTGTACACCAAGTTGCCCGGGGGCCTGCAGTCTCGGGGAATCTCGACGCTCATCACCCGTGGAGTAAAGGGAGATGTGAGAGAGAAAGAGGGTGTGGCCGAGCCAACGTCCGCCCGCCTATTCATCTCGACTATCTGCCTCTCCATGGCCTCCAACCTTGCATCCTGCGCGGCCCTTCCGGGGGACACAGGGGGCGCGGCTTCGGGGACGGCATTCTGCTGAGCGGCCACAGCATCGAGCGGCCGCCTAAAGATCTGCGCACCTCGCCGTTGGAAACGTCGTCCAACGGTGTTGATCCTCGGGGTCTCGTCTCCCCGCGGGATTTGGCGGGGGACTGATGGTGTGTGAGCCCTGGATGCAGCGATGCTGACTCTGGTTCGCCCTCCCGTTCCACGGGAGCCTGAACCCCCACCTAGCCGCTCGTGGACTGAGGGCCGGTGGTCGCTGGATCCTGTCGTATCGTCATACGACTGCATGCGGCGTATGGGAGAGAGGGGCGTTCGCTGGGTACTTGCAGAGTACACCTGGTCTCGGGCCTCCCGCTCGTCTGCCAAGCGACGCATGGTGTCTGCGAGTTCCCGCATGAGGCGAGGATCCTGCCTGGCCTCCAGAGGAATGAGGTCAGTGATACCCCCGTTTCCCCCGGAGGTCCATATTGTTGCGGATAGTTCCGAGTTCTGGCCGCGATTCCGGCGGCTTGATTCCAGACGCTCGGAGAGATCACGCTGGTTGTTGCTTCCTGACATCGTGTTTGCTGTAGGTAGACTTAGTAGCTGTTTGGGAGAGTTTCTGGAAACCTTTTGCTCAGTTTCCCACAGACGGCGCCAGTGTTGAGGTTTATTCCTTCAACCCTTGGACCCAACACGTAAGCCCAAAGATTTCGAATGGAGTGAGTGTGTGGATATCTAGCCCAACAATTGTCAGATGGATCAGGAAAACAAAAGTAGTAGCAGGCAATGTAAATAGGTATTATTAACTTCGTAATAACTCCCCTAAATACAATCTACTTGCTAATAAGGCACGTCGGCCGTTCGTCTTACAAGGCACTTAGAAAGGCTGCAAGTAAGAATGCTGAAGCTAATATGCTAAGAATAGAAAGTTGCCAACCCTTTACAATGAAATAAATGCTACTATTTATACCCGCCAATGGGCAGTTAGTCCTGATGATGTGGAGGATTGTTAGTGGCTATGGCCCAACCACCAAATCTCCAGCATTAAATGCGCTTCCCGCCAGAATCTGAGTTCCCCGCCTAATTGATGACCACGATCGTCGGGTAGAACCGGGGGCCGTTCGTCTGCGGCCCTTCCTGGGAACGTAACAATCTTTTGGGCCTGGGCCATCTACGGAGATGGGCCTCGGCTGACGACGTTCGTCACGGATGTGCTAACCGACCCTCGGCCGGGACCTTGAGCTGTTATTCCGGAGATAGACATTCGTCCTCATTCCTTCAGGCCAGGGCCATCCGTGGGCTGGGCGACGTACGTCGGTTTGGGGGTAATTGGGCCGGACCCCTGCTCGGGGCCATTTACCCAACAGACAGGAATGATGGTGTTGAGCCGATGCTGACATAGACGACGACTCATTGGCCAATCATGAATCCGAAGCAGTGGTCATCATCGTCATCCCGCCAAGGTCGGATCAAGAGAGCTGTGCTTGGATGGCTCCCTGATGTTGGTCAAGAAAGCGATGCAGGGCAAGAGAGTGATGTTAGATCCTTCCCAGTGACTTCAGAGTTTTGCAAGCTTTAGGCTCAAGGCCCAACCTTCGGAGTACGTCCCAACGTCGATGATGTAGTAGATGAGGTAATTTTCAGAGCTTGTCACTTCTTAGGTCGAGGATCGGCGTCCGGAGTATGTCCACGCTTAGTTGCGCAGTCAATGTTAGAGAGAAACGCATGGCTTCTCTGTCCAGTGTTGCAGGAAATGGCGCAGCTTCCCCGCCTCGTGAAGATAGACTTGCCAGGAAGAGAAAGGGTATGAACTGCTTCTTAGGTCAGGTTAGGGAAGGCAATCCTACCCGTACAGCTCCAACTTACTTCGTTTGTTTTCTTGTAGGTACAGTCGGTTGGGAGAATCACACAGCTTCCCTTCCTGATGCCGGGGAGAGGCATGCAGCTTTCCTGCTTCACAAAGTACCACCTTGTTCGTTTCTTTGCAGATGTGCCAGGTCGGAAAAGCGAACTTGCTGCCTTGGGTACAAAGAGAGATGCTAAACCACTTTTCATGTCATCTGATCATTTTTCTCTGCAGGGAGTGATGGATCCGGCCGCATTGCTCCGCGCTATGAAAGATCAGCATACGGAGCTCCAGCGTTAGGCTGATTAAGCCCATCTTCACGCTACCCAGGCTCGGCAGCATGCAGATGGAGCGGAGGCAGCCTTGAAGATACTTATCGCATGCAATGAAGAGGATAAGAGAGCCCTGATCAATCTCCAATCAAAGTGTGACCAGCTGAAGTCGAGTATAACCAAGTAAAGGCGTCATTTGCGGATGCAGCGCAACAAGCAATTGCGGTGCTCAAAGCTTCTAAGGAGTTCTCCGAGCTTCCTGCTTCCCGGACTAAAGATGTGGGGCACCAAGCATCCCAGGAATTCAAGAAGCCCGTTTCTCCCCAGACGTATGCTCTCCGTGCAGAGCAAGTTCATGATTGGCTTCAGACCGAGGAGGGTTGCAATTGGCACAAAAAGATGTCTTGTTCTCTTGTAGTTGTGGCCGGCATGATACACAGACTAGCCGTGATAAGGCGGAGAAGATGGGCAATGTTGATGTCGAACTTGTTCTCTGTGATTGATTTATCACTTGAGCTTGTATGTATGCATCGTTCGTTCTTTCAATTTTCGTAGTCGTTTTTTATTCAAGAATACCTGGACAACTTATCGGAGATCTGGCTCCCCACCTAGGCCGTGAGGGGCGGAAAGTCGACAAGGTCGACCTTGACCGCACCCTGCCAGGTAAGGCGGGGTTGACCCGCACACTGTCGATCTAGGACCAACGAGTTGTGCAAGCTGTTTGGCCAGCGATTAGACAACGGATGTATGAGAGGGGCTCGGGGCGCGACCTCTCGCATACCTTCGACCCGGAGGTCGGTCTTACACCACCTTGACTTATACAGCTAGTTTCATACTTAAGAAACATTTTAGTTGTTCCCTTTCTGAAAGTCGAACTGAAGTCGGCCAAACGTAAGGGCAAGGCCCTGCATGATCAGACCAGAACGGACCCGCACCGTTGATCCTGTCAAGCGCGTATGCGGGCTGCTAAGCCTACCAACGTCAGACAACGGATGTACGAAAGGGGCTCGGAGCGCGACCGTTCGCATTCCTTCGGTCTGGAGACCGGTCATATAGTTGTCGCATTGTTGACTAGATCATACGTGTATGCGAGCTGTTTAGACAGCAATGCTAGACAACGGATGTACGAGAGGGGCTCGGGGCGCGACCACTCGCATACCTTTTCGACCCGGAAGTCGGTCTTACAATTGCCCTGACCGAGCAGCTAACCCCGGACTTAGAAAGTGATATGATCATTTCCTTGCCCGAGCTGAGCCGTGGTCGACTAAACACCAAGAGCGGGGCGTGATACACATATACTTTTTTTTTTCTCTCTTTTTTTTTTCTTTTTCTCTCTCTTTTTTCTTCTCTCTCTTTTTTTTTGAGCCGCCGCCCGTTTAATCCAAGTGAGGTCGGACCTCATTAAATTCCAGAATGGAAAACGATTTTTGTAAGGCATGAAAGAATATGAGAACTTGAGGATTTGCTCCAGTTCTTCTACATTTGATCTACAATTTGTGATGATTGATTCATAGAATCTGAGAGAGCTAATCTCCAATCCACACTTCATCAACGGGCTTGCAGTTATGCGCTCTTAGGATTAGAGAGGGTTCCCGGCGCTCCGCACTTGACCTACAAGCTTGGGATGCTCCATTCTTAGGATTCGACCAAGTCTCCTGCAATCTACATTTGATCTCAAGCTTCCCCGTCGTGGTCTTCAATTAATAAGATTGATCGGGAGCTCTGCACCGATCTTGATCTTCCGTTTCAGACTCTTGGGGTTGACCCAGATTTCTTCGACTTCAAAGGTGGGTTCAATACAAAGCTAACCCTCCTCGTACTTTGTACCATTGTTATTAACGACATGGACCTTGAGCTCCTTTTCTGAAGCTGGACATGCAATGACTTCGCGTTGCAAGGTTTGTTCCCCTCTAGCGACGATGCTTCCTTGCTTCACATCACGAGAGGGCCTCCTTGCTTCTAGGCCTTCGAGTAACAACTTTGTGTCGTAAGGTTTGTACCCCTCTGACAATGATGCTTTCACGTCTTTGTGAATCTATGCATCATAGGGCGTCTTCGTATTATCTGGGGAATGTCTCCATGTCCACAAGAATAATGTGACTTCAACGCTTATGTACCTCTTCCTGTGGCGTTAACCTCTAGAACCCTTAAGCCAAAGCTTCTAGAATGCGATGGCTTCCCGGAACGCTTGCACCCCAACATGAAGTTGTATCGGCTTCATGCGCAGAGCACGATAGGGCTCACCTCTAAGGCGATCACGGGCAGATTGCACGATATGACCGTGACCCAATTTTACCCCTAGAGTCTCCAGGATTCGGCACTTGATTCCAGAGATCTTCTGTCAACATCATCACCTGACTCCTCGCGTAACTAGGAGTTGTACAGGAGCAACGGTCACCATCCAGGAAGGGAGTGGCTGAGACCGGTCTTGACACTAGGACCGCGGCACTAATGAAAGTCCAAACAATAGTGATAAGGCAAAGATGACCCGGCCGTGGCATGGGACGTCAGCGTTGAAGGGCCAATCGTGCCCGATCGTGCAGTCACGATGACCTTCCCAGACATGAATACGACGGTCGCCATCCCGGAAGGGAACGGGGAGCCCGATCGTGCAGTCACGATGTCGGCGCTGAGGAGCCGGCTGTATCACGGGAACGTCGGCGCTGAGGGGCCAATCCTGAAGATGAACACGACGGTCGCCATCCCGGAAGGGAATGGGGAGCCCAATCGTGTGGTCACGACGTCCGCGCTGAGGAGCCGGCCCCGAACATGATCATGACGGTCGTCATCCCTGAAGGGAACGGGGAGCCCGATCGTGAGGTAACGACGTCAACTCCAGGAACCGGTCTTGAGAAAGATAATCAAGCGGCAACGACACATGGTGGCAGCACACGGTGGAAGTGGCGCGCGGCGGCGACACGTGATGGCGTCGGCACGTCAACAGACGAAAACTTTGATAGTTCAGCCCATTGGTTGAGGTTCCTTGTTTCCATCCTATGCTTGGAGTTCGAATCCCGGCCCAAATTCTTCACTTTCTTCCTCTACTTGGCGTCTTCTGTCCCAGCCTGCCGGTCTGCACGCCCTTGTGGAATGGCTTCACGTTGCGAGGTTTGTACCCCCTTATCAAAGATTCTTCCAGGACTTTGAGCAATAGCTGACCGTTGCAAGGTCTGTACCCCTTGGCAACGGTGCTTCCTTCCTTCCCAGGACGAGTGTTGTCGGGAGGGCCTCCTTCCTGGCTGCCGCTGCGTTGCAAGGTCTGTACCCCTTTAGCAACAGTGCTTCCAGGACTTCGAGTAACAGCTCCGCGTTGCAAGGTTTGTACCCCTTTAGCAACGATGCTTCCTTCCTTCCCGGAATGAGTGTTGCCGGGAGGGCATCCTTCCTGGCTGCTGCCACGTTGCAAGGTGTGTACCCCTTTAGCAACGATATTTGCTTCCTTCTCGGAACGAGTGTTGCCTGGAGGACCTCCTTCCTGGCTTGTGCCGCGTTGCAAGGTTTGTACCCCTTTAGCAACAGTGTTTCCATCACATCACGAGTGAATGGTTCTGGGATGTGGAGGTCGACCATGTATGGCTCTCCCCCGATGACCCTTCTCCTCAGCTTGTCCAGCCTTAGCATCAGGTCTTCCACCTAATCAGGTGCCGACTCTGCTCGTATGCGTCCAGCATGGAGCTGTACTCGCGGCAACCCTGTCGCGTACGTGAGGGCGAGATTCAGCATGGCGTCCGTCTGGGGAGACAACCTGCCTACCCGGGTTGATGGGAGTGATGAGACGAATTGTCCCCTCCTTCCCGGAATGATTGTTGTCGGGAGGCCTCCTTCCTGGCTGCCATGGCTGCTCAACTTGTCAGGACACATACTCCCTTCGGGATCCATCTGTGCTGGTACGTCTGTGCTGATACATCTCTTGGGGAGCCAACTCGCCTACCTGGTCAACGGGAGTGATGAGACGAATCGTCCCCTCCTTCCCAGGACGAGCGTTGCCGGGATGGCCTCCTTCTTGGCTGCCATGGTTGCTCAACTTGTCGCGACACATACTCCTTTCGGGATCTGTCTGTGATGGTACGTCTCTAGGGGAGCCAGCTCGCTTACCATGTCGATGGAAGTGATGAGACGAATCATCCTCTTCTTCCCGGGACGAGTGTTTCCGGGAGGGCCTCCTTCCCGGTTACTCAACTTTCCGGGACACGTACCTTCGAAATCCATCTGCACTGGTACATCTATGCTGATACGTCTTCCCGGGAGCCAGCCCGCCTACCCAGTCGATGGGGTGATGAGACGAATCGTCCCCTCCTTCCCGGGATGAGTGTTGCTGGGAGGGCCTCCTTCCCGGAACGAAGGCGTTACCCGGGAGGGCCTCCTTCCTGGCTACTCAACTTGCCGGGCCACGTACTCCCTTCGGGGTCCTTCATGCTCTAAGCGTACGAGCGTGGTCTATGGGCACCGAGCATACAGGCGTCTGGGGTGATAACTCCGAGCGTGCACGATCTCGCGATGGTGCTCCACAACCCTGACCGGTTGGCACGGATAATCAACCTGCAATTTCAGAAAATTTAATAAAATTTTCAAATTTATATTTTTATTGTTTGATGGTTGTCCTTTGTTGATGATCCCCCCGGTTAGGATAGATTGAACTGGGGAACAACTACCCTGAACTTGGTGGGTTGGAGGCCTGGCGAAGCTCATTTTGTATTTGGCCCCGCACCTACTGGGAGAAGAGAAGTCCAGGCTTCGTAGGAATTTTGACTAGATCAGAGTTGAGTTCTGCCCGGAGAGGAAAAAAGGTGTCCAACTGTAGAGGTCCAGCCTGCTCATATTCGACAGAGGCTTTGCTGGGGGGAATTCTGTCCGGCACGAGAGCAGAACTATGTCTGGTATCACTCCAAGCGGCGGTCTGAGAAGCGAGCAGCGAACAGAAGGTCCGCAACCTAGTTCGCTATTCCTGCTACTACGGCTACCCTTGCTTGCCGGTGGAGAGGTTCTGGGCAGCAACCGCGATACTTCTGCGTCCAGTAAGGTCTACAGCGGCCAGCGAGCTTCATCCGACTGCGTGCGGCGGAGCCGTGGACGGCTGCGGCCTGGATGGTGCGACATAGGATTCAGACTCGGAGGAACAGGGAAAGTGTGGCGAGCGGCGCCTGACGCGGGGATGTGAGCTGCGAGCACTGTTGCCGCTACGGCGAAGGTGGACGCCCCTGCTTACCAGACCCCTTCTTTCCCTGACGCGGAGGTGTGAGCTTTCGTTCTTCCTTAGACCTGGATCCGCACCTTCAATTTTTCTATCCCGTTCAATTTTTGGAAAATTGTTCATGCATCAATCTGAAATTGTGGCGATTTTTGTATTGATAATGGGAAGAATTTCACTTTGATTTCTGTTCCAATCTCTCCTAGTTTCTACCGGAAAATCTGAGTTTCTACCGAAAAATGAGAGATGGCTCTCAATGAAAGCACCAATGTTGGTAGAAAATATTCCGGGTAGAGAAACTAGCAGCATTTCAGTATAGTAAAATAGCGTAGAGAATACATGGGTGGTGATGGCCTATTTATAGGCATCCATCACAAGTCCAAAGTCTAACCTACGTGGGCTTGGCCCAAATACATAATACATCTTGAAGCTAATGGGCGAACCGGCCTGATAAATAAATAAATGAGCAAGGGGTGATTCCCGCTCGTGAGACTGCGTCTTGGGCCTAGTTGGGCCAGAGCTCAGGGATAACGGGCCGATGGCACTGGGCCTGGGATATTATCCCAACAGACCTATCCAAAAGTTTATTTACTGACCTTCGGACTGAGAATGAAATACAAACCGATAATCTTCAAATAAACATCCAATTTGCATTTATTTATTAAAAATGCTACCATCAACAACCACCCCTTCCTATTGTCGTGGTGGAGAGATAATAAAGACAGTCCAAGTACTCTAAATTTTAAAGTTGCTAAAAAAGGACATGTTTGTTTGGAGGAGAATTGACTAGTTCAATTTGGTTTCAACTAATTTGATTTAATTTGAAAGCATTTGGTCTCCTTTTTATGTATGGCCCAAACAGAATACGGAGTATGAGTTTTTTTCTTAAATAATGCTAACAAACAAAATATTGGGTCAAAATTATTTCCCAAATCTACTGTTCCACAAATTCTAGTTACACCATGGGAAGCCTACGCATGACTACCGTAGGGGTCAGTGAAAAGCACACCACAATTGGTAGAAGAGCAATGGTGGGACCCAATAAAATAAAAAATCCCATTTTTCTTAGAAATGCTATAACTTTTATATTTATACTCCGATTTTTCAAAACAATATATCATAATTCATAACTTTTTATTATCTTTTATATGACACCAATATTGTATATATAAAAAATAAATAATAATTTAACTCTTTAAAAATTTCATGTATTTTAAAGTATTAAAACTTTTTTATTTGTATTCTGATTGTTTTAAAACATACTCTCTCTGCCCCCTATAATTGTCTTCTTTTTCACTTTTGGATGTCCCCCTATTATTGTCAAATGCCATATTTGTTAACATTTGTGTGACTCTAATTCATTCTTACTTTATTTCCACTTTATCAACTCATTATTAATCACATAATTCTATTTTTTTTTAAAATCACACCATTTTCTTATGTTCCAATATTAGGGGGCGGAGTAGAATATATCAAAAATTTCATAATATTTTATTATATTTTACTTGTATATGACACTAATATTTCATAGGTAAAAATAAAAAAATTATTTGGTACTTTAAGAATTTTTTTAGAGTTATACCTTTTTTAGTATAATTTGGTACCTTTTTTTTAAATATTTCTAGACAATTTTTTTAGTGTTATACCCTTTTGACTAATAAATACATAATTTATCACGTTAAAAAATTCTCAATTATTTAAATTGCTATTACTTTTTTATTTGTAGTCTAATCGTTACATATAATATATCAAAATTCATAACTTTAAGAATGAGCATGAGACACTACGAGGCGATTATTTTAAAAAGAGTGTCTCAATTCAAAGTACGGTTCTTCTGAAAATTATAGAACCAGTACCCTCGAATATGTATAGAACATGTCCTGTTCTGTATCAATTTTTTATACGGATGGATATAGTTCTTAAGTACTCCCTCTCAACTATTGAACTTTGTCAACTTTCGTTTTTTTATTATCTTAAAAATTATACATAGTAGTACTTTAAAAATTGTGAACTTTTTTAAAGTGCTAAATTATTGTCTATTTCTATATATGAAAATTAGTAACAAATGAAAGATAATAAGAAGTTATGAGTTTTGATATACCTGGAGTACCAAAAAAGGTATAACACTAAAAAAATTATTAGAGTACCATATTTAATTATTTTTACTATGAAATATTAGTGTCATATAAAAAGAATTAATAAATCATTATGAATTTTGATATATACTACCTCCACCCCCTAATAATTAGACAGGATGAAGTGGTATATTTTTTAAGAAAAGTAGAATTATGTGGTTGATAATGAGTTTCTAAAGTGGTAATAAAGTAAGAATAAATTAGAGTCACACAAATTTTATATTAACAAATATGACGTGTGACATTAATAGGGGGACTTCCAAAAGTGGAAAAATGGAATAATTATAGGGGGCGGAGAAAGTATGTTTTAAAACAATCAGAGTACAAATATTTTTTTAATACTTTAAAATACATGAAATTTTTAAGGTGTTAAATTGTTATTTATTTTTTATATATACAATATTGGTGTCATATGAAAGATAATAAAAAGTTATGAATTATGATATATTGTTTTGAAAAATCGGAGAATAAATATAAAAGTTATAGCAATTTTAAGAAAAATGAGATTTTTTATTTTATTGGGTCCCACCATTGCTCTTCTACCAATTGTGATTGCTTTTCACAACTCCTGCGGTATTCATGCGCGGGCTTCCTATGGGCTAACTAGAGTTTGTGGAGCAGTAGATTGGGAAATAATTTTGACCCAACATCAATTATGGAAATATTTTGTTTGTTAGCATTACTTAAGAAAAAAACTCTACGGAGTATTCTGTTTAATGCGTCCGGTTCTAAGATGTTCCAAGTCTTGTTTGATTCGTCAGCCATTTTATCTCTAATACGAAAATCCACGCTATAAGATGGTGTATGCATTTGTGGCACTAGACCCACAAAAAATTTAACAAATTTTAGGCCTAGCTAATACCTCTTCATAAAGTAATTACTGTCTTTATCATGCCTTGCTATATGCATTTGTATCATAATTCATACTACGTACAAATATTATCGTCTGAAACTATAGTCATTATTTTAGAGTACGACCACCAGCATAATATATACTGACATTGTGGATATGCAGGGGCGGAGCCAGGATATGACCGAAGGGGGGGCGGGGTGAAATAAAAAAAGAATACGGAGTAGGATTTAAAATATAAATAAAATATACATATTACATTAAATGACGTATTGGTATTCATCTAAAGTATTCAAAAGTACATGATTAAACGCCATGTGAGATAAAATTTAGAACGTTACATCTCTCTTGCATGTCATGAAATCACCGATAAAAAAATCTATGATAGACATTTTGACGATTTTGTGGCATGAGATAATAAATACTAGCAAATGTCTAAAAAAAGGTAAACAACTTAACTAAGTATACTGGACCAAACTTGCTAGTCAATAATGAATTAGTAATATACTTGGGAAACTATTTTCAATTTTAAATAATTAGTAAAAGGAAAAAAGTGTAATTCTTTACCTCTATTCTAATAGGTTTTGTGGATGCATCTAGTGTCCACGGTCCACCAGGGATTTTTTTTAATTAACATACTTGATATTTGGGCTTTAAATTTGCTTCCATATTAAAGTGGGGCTTTAGGACTAAGTAATACTTTACCTCTATTCTAATATAATAGTCCTAGACTCCTAGCAAATACTAGTAAAAGATTTGAGGTAGGGGGGCAGCATAACAATACCACTAACTAAAAACATTAAAGTTGGGGGGGGCAATGGCCCCCTTGCTATTATACATACCTCCGTCCCTGTGGATATGGACTATGGTTTCAAGATGATATGGTTTGTGTTACACACATAAATGTGCACACACAAAAATGTGCACACACAAAAATGTGCACTATAGCAATAGTCTTATACACTAATACTATGATGGCAATATATAATACGATATCTTCTAATTTACACTGCTCAAATGCAAAATCAGGGAAATAATGCATGCAATGTGGAAGCCAAAGAAGTTCAAACACATATACTTCTATGCCACACTATATGTCTTCACACTCACCATTCCCTCAGCCACCTCTGTCTATTGGGCATTCGGCGACCAGCTCCTCGACCACGCTAACGCATTTTCCCTCCTCCCTAAATCTGGATGGCGCGACGCTGCCGTTATCCTAATGCTCATTCACCAGGTCTCTCGTTTACTCTTTATTATCTTAGTCTATTAGCATGATGTAGATAATTTCCTATGGCACATTCCCACAAATAGAAGTACGTAGTACTATTATTTTCTTATCGAAATATGACTTATTCAATTGTACTTGGAGGAGGAGTTTTTATTGCTCTAAAAAGACTAAACAAGTCTTATTTTGAGAGAGAAAACATACATATTTAGTCTTATTTTTGAACTTTATCATCGATTAATATGTTTGGAAATGGAAATGCGCAGTTCATAACATACGGGTTCGCATCAATGCCATTGTACTTCGTTTGGGAGAAGACGATTGGGATGCACGGGACAGGAAGTATTTTCTTAAGGGCGGTAGCAAGGTTGCCTGTGGTGATACCAATATGGTTTTTGGCTATTATTTTCCCCTTCTTCGGCCCAATCAACTCCGCGGTTGGCGCCCTTCTTGTTAGTTTCACGGTCTACATCATCCCCTCTCTGGCTCATATGCTCACATTTCATACCTCCTCTGCTCGACAGGTAATTACTCTTCACTCAATAATTTGATTTATGTATAAATTGAGACAAAAGAGATTGTCACGATTATTAGGAAGAGTGAAGTTGTGATTGATATTAAAATAATAAAGTTTGAATAAAGTAAAAATTTAATGTGACAGACGCACAAGAAAACATGAGATAATGATAATACGATGAAAAAGATTATTTTTTAACCTCGGGCCATAAGAGGCTTTAATATTGCATGTTTTTCTTAGCATTGATTTTCACATCTAGTGGATGTTAGATTTTTGTTTGGGACATTTTCATCTCGTGAAATAGTCCCTCGCTCAGCTCTATTATTCTTGCGATATTATTTAAATGTGAGGTTTTATTACTTTATAATGGGTTAAACCATGCGTAGTTAACAATAGACGAAGTATATACCAATAGCTAAATTGGCAATTCAATTACCATTGTAATTGAGAGATCGATGATATGAATTTTAAATAAGATCTCATTTTTTTTATAATAAAGTAAGGTAACATTTAGCTATGGCATCAATGATCGTAGATATGATCATATGAATATGTTGGTAGCTAGACAAGAGGATATGTGCGAAACGTCTTGGTATAGTTCCAGGAATTAATGGAGAAATTATATCAAATAACTGCAGGAATTCTAAGGAATCAAGAATAGAGTTCGAACAATCATCTTTATTGAGAACTGAAATCAAGACATTACAGGGAAATTCATCAACAAGCGGCCAATTCGTATTTGCTAGGCTTTCTATATATACGACCTCTAGAAACGAATACAAGTATTAACCGTATCTATTAACTACTAACAGACTTATGGTTGTAACTAGAAGCTTCTTATTTTGCTGATTTGGCAATCCTCCATGCTGAGTATTTATCTAACGTGCCTTCCATTCCGTAACAACCCATCCCCTTCTCTTAAGCTTGTCCTCAAGCTTGTGATTGAACTGCTGGAAAGTCAGGATATCTTTTAATAAAATCCCCATGTAGCTCCCACGTGGCATCTTCTTTATTCCCATTAGACCACTGAATCAACCAGTACACAACAGCTTCATGACCTCTTTTTGCTATCTTTCTGTCCAAAATAGCTATAGGTTCCTCCTTAATACTCCATTTTCATCTACCTGGCTAATGTACTAGAAATGGGAGTAGGACCGTGGTGTTTTTTTCAATTGAGAGATGTGAAATACGGGATGCATTTTAGCGTGATCCGGTAATAGCAGTTTATAAGCCACCTTCACAATCCTGCTAACCAGGGGCGGACCCATGAAATTGATATTGGGGGGCGATAATTTAAACAAAAAAAATCTAGGCGATTATTATTATAAGTTATAACCTTAATATAATACGGAGTAGTAATTAAATGAAGCATTATAATAGAAGAAGAGACAAATATATTATTACAAAATAGTTAAAGTTAGTACCTTAGAATTGTACCCAACGCTTCTTCAACTAGATAAATTCCTCAATCATGGCTTTTTAGTCAAAAGTTTTAGTAATTTCTCTTTCAATATAAACAATAAGGTTGTCTGCAACATACTCATCCTCCATTTTATTGCGAAGCCTTGTTTTTATAATTTTCATTGCGGAAAAAGTCCTTTCGGTTGTTGCTGTCGAAACCGTTAGAGTCAACAAAATTCGGATCAATTTATCAACAAGCTAAGAAAGTACACTTTTGACATCTCCGTCTCCGCTAATCTTTGACAAAGTTCACCCATTGTAGAAAAATTCGCCAACTTTGGATGATTTAGAACATTGAGCTTATAATGTTGCAATAGAAACCTCAAGCTCACCTTCTCCTGCTCAATAAAATCAAAGGGGTAATATTTATCCACTAAAGAACAGATATCATCGATGTTAAAAGACTTATATGAGTTCTTAGGATCCAAAGCACCACTAAGAGTAAGAAGATCCATTATCTGTTCACCGAATCTGCTATTCAGCTCCAACAATTGTGAATCTATGGCTGCGTAAAACATATCAACCCGATAGTGACGTTCAATATCAAACCCTTCTTGATCATGGCGTTTGCGTTTTACCGCATAAGGAGACTTCATATTAGGAACTTCAATTTCATGCTTTGTGCAAAACTCTTTAACAATTGCTAAGAAGTTATCCCATCCACCCTCCCTTAACTTTTGGATCAACATTTTGGTGCTTGCCAAATGCATAGCATTTACTATGTCTTGGCACTTCTTCTGTATATGCTGACATAGAAGATCTGTAATGCTGCATTTCCACGAGTAGAATAGTTATTGCCATTCTCTTCAACATCTTCTAAAACAGAACAAGTTGCAGCAAACATCCTAATCAAACTGCAAACAGAACTGAAATGTGAGCTCCAACGAGTTTCCCCAGCTTGTTGTAATGTACCAACCTAATTAAGTCCTCTCCTTGTTTCAAGCTCACCAATTTTCAACATTCTTGCAATTTCAAGTGCTTGAGCTTCCTTTAATTCATCACTTCGTTTGCAAGAATAATTAGTCACACTAATAATAAAGACTGAATCGATGAAAAAATTGTGCACATATTTCACCTCTCTAGAAGCAGCAACCAATGCTAATTGCAACTGATGTGCTAAGCAATAAACATAGTAGGCATAAGGACAATCATTTAAAAATAATCGATCTTTCCGTTTCTTTCTTCTAGGTGGTGCGCATGTTTTTCATTAGTTTGGTCTGGGCTGTGGGCTGGGATTAGATTTTGGGGTGGGTTAATGAGGAATAAATTTTGGAGTGAGTTGATATAATATTACTTGTAAATTTTCTATTTTTTTAGGTTCTTAAACAATTGGGTTTCTGCGAGTGGGCTATGCTTTGGGGGAGAAAATATTTTTTGGGGGGTTCAAAATTTTTCTTGGAGGGGCGAGAATTAAATGTTGGGGGGGGTAAAAATAAAAATTTTGTATATATATACACTAAAAAAAAATTGTTGGGGGGGCGGCAGCCCCCCTGGGTCTGTACTACGGTCCGCCCCTGCTGCTAGCTAGGGATGGGACCGGTTCGGTTCTTACTCAAAATGAGTGGAACCGTTAAAAAAAATTTAATTAATGATATCGGTTCGGTTCCTATTTAAAAAATCAAGAACCATTATGGAACCGAATCATTACTAAGCGGTTCGGTTCCTTGTTTTTACCGGTTCCTAGGATAATTTTTTCTCATCTAAGAATTAAGTCAATTAACACATAATTTACTTCATACAACATAAACACGTAAAAAATTCAAAACACGAGTATTGAAATTTTATTTGAACTCAAACATCAAAACTCAAACTTAACTAGTTAATAGAACAAACGATGATTTAATTTTTCATGTAATAAATAAAACATAAAAGTCATCATCATAGTAGCAAGTAAAGGACGTCTACTTTAAGTCTTTAAGTCTTTCAAAGCATAAAAATATATTGAGTTCACATGTATAGATATAAAAACACTATTACATTCTACTTGCTAGTACCATGATTTATAATAAATCTAATAATTAGAAATATTATGAAAATAGTAAAGTAAAATTTGTCCGATCAACTACAACTTATTTGGGTTATTATGTTATATTTATAAAATTTATGTGATGGAACAAAACTTGTATAAAGGAGCTTAATGTATTATATAAACTTTCTCTTTGCGCTTTTTCTTGTATTTCCTTGTTGAACTGTGTTTTGTAATTTCATCAGTTTAATAAATTTGGAAAGTGTTCCCCGGCGCTTTCCCCACTTCTGTGGGTTCTCCGGATAAAAAAAAAAATCAACTCATGTGCAATATTTCATTGATTAAATTAGAATTGTTAGTTTTTTTGAAGGAAAATTGGAATTGTTAGTTAAATATGTATTGTATTATTATTGTTGTGGTGGTTATGATTGTTATTATATTATTATTACTACTAATAATACTATTTTTTAATAACAGTTCTTTAATGGTTTCATGCACATATTTTTTTTTATAGGAACCAGGAACAGAACCATTAACAACATCTAGGAACCGAACCGTTAACAACTAATACCTTATTTGTAGGAACCAAACTGAACCGGGTTATAACGGTTCGGTTCCAATCGGTTCTACTGTTCCCGGTTCCGAAATCCCACCCCTACTGCTAATCACTTCAAAAGGTCCAAAGAACTTGGGGATGAGGTTCATATTAGTACGATAGGGCACATACTGTTGTCTATAAGGTTGCAACTTGATATATACTTAATCCCCAACCAAGAACTCGTTATCAGTTCTGTGTTTATCACCTTGGTTCTTCATTCAATATTGAGATCTCTTCATGTGAAACTTCAACATTTTAATGCATTCTTCCCTGGCCTTCAAGCTTCTGTCCACTTCCTCTACCGAACTATCTCCAGTAACATAAGGTAGATGAATGCTACGTGGTTGTCCATACACTACTTCATAAGGAGTTTTTCCAATAGCTGAATGAAAATTGGTGTTGTACCACCATTCCGCTAGAAGAATCCAATTAGCCCAGTCTTTAGGATTTTCCCGAGTCATGCATCTCAAGTAGGTCTCAATGCATTTGTTCACTATCTCCATCTGTCCATCAGTTTGGGGATGATATGATGTTGATAGAGAGAGATCAACTTGCTGTCTTCTGAACAATTCTTGCCAAAAATTGCTGAGGAAGATTTTGGCAAACCGTGCAATCTGTACACCTGGTCCATGGTATACCTTTGCCACTGTGCAGGCATTATAGGGATGAGACAACAATAGAAAAAGAGCATACTTACTCAATCTATCAACTACCACTAAAATGGTACCCTTTCCCTGTGATTTAGGAAGCCCTTCCACAAAGTCCATTGAAATGTTAACCCAAATAGCATCCGGAATAGGAAGGGGTTGAAGTAATCCAGCAGGAGCCTGAAGAAGGGATTTGTTTTTGTGGCATATTACACACTTTTGGACCATTCTTTTGATATCCTTTTTCTTTCCCTTCCAAAAGAATAGAGCTCATGTTCTTTTGTAAGTAGCTTGTACTCTGGAGTGTCCACCAATTGCTGAATCATATAATAAAT